GCCAATCTACGTATGTATGTATACCGAATGAATTCGACGAGGATGTTCATACCGTTTTTGTACGGCTAACTTAGTACAGTAAAACGACATTCGAGCAAACCGAAAATAGCATTACCAGAACATGAAGAAGGTGAGTTTATGACAAACTCATGTCGACTTCAGGTGTGCGAATCCAAGGCAAATTTGACTGATGCGAATTCCGTGGACTGCTGAAAAGGGCGGTTTCTCAGGTGCCGGAGAAAGCACTATTGCACGCGGTATAGAAGCACAATGAGTATGTTCCCATTCAATTTATTAATCCAGGCCAATAAGGCAGCGTAGGTGGTACGTTTACCTGCGCGTTGAGTAAGCTTACATTTCCGAAGTAGATGTTGCTTGAGCTCCCCGGCGTGGATGCGCTAGATGTGAATGTTGATAAGGTGTCTACCTGTCTATTACCCACTACCTCGCCCATACTGACTCCAGGAGACAGTTGATCGTTGCTGGTGTGGACGGGGTGCACCGTCCTCGTGACGGTGCTAGCTCAAAGAGTGCTTCCATCCTGTGTGGAACGGGCTACGGTCCTGCCACGGCCATGTGTACATCTGGTGTGCATGATTTCCCAACTAGGCCGGGATGCTTCTGTTCCGCTTGTTGAAGGAGTGTGGGACGGCTCCGTTGATGAAACGTAGCTCCCATTCACATGCCTCCCGGTCTTATTCCTTCGGGTTTACACCGGATATGGGGTATGCGGGTGGAACTGTGGGTGGTGCCGCGCAAGCCACCCATGGCTCTCTGTACGCGCAGGCGTCCTGTGGCTGGCCACAGTGACAGACAAATCCGAAACCGGATGCCACCAACCATATATATATATATATATGTATATATATATATATATATATATATATATATATATATATATATATATATATATATATATGCTTTTGCAATGGTATGCGGGTTAAGGTGCAGCTAAATGGACAAAACACAGGGTTTTGATTTTGTCTATGGTGTGAAGCGAGGTTGTGTTTTAGCCCCCGCTTATCTCATCGCCATGACGTTTTGTGCTTTCCATGTCTGTGAATGTAGTGGCCGTCTCGAGCATCGTATTGATAGTGAGTTGCTGAACACTCATCGTTTCAGAGCGAGAATCCGAGTGCTTAAGACAATCATCTGAATGATGTTCTTTCTGGACTAATGCACGTTGTTTACACAACCTATAACCACGGACCTCGATTGTACGGCAGCCAAGTTCCGACTCACTATCAATATAAGTTAGACTGACTGTCTTTTTCAGCCGCCGTCAGGGACGGAGTCCGCAGGCTGTCATCAAATCACGAATGCTGATAAATTAATGGAGACTTCATCAATAGTTTGTAACCATGTGAGTTTGCTGTCATTAGACCTCAAATGATTACCGAGCTGAGCATCCACGTAGGGAAGGCGAAGGAAGGCATTTGACAAGCTGGAACAGCGTGTCTGGAAGATTCATTAACTAACCGTTGGAATCAAACTGACGGTGTACAAATCGATGCTGCTGTCGGTTCTTTTTTACGGTGGTGAAACATGGACCCTAGATAAGAACGTCTTTTTGTCTTTGGAGCGGTTTTATCAGAAGTGCCTGCGGCGGATTTTGCACATCCATTGGCGTGAGTTCCCAACACCGAAGTGCTACGCCGATGTGGCATGTATAGAGGGAATTGTATAATTCTGCCGCGACACCTGAGGTGGCGCGGACATGTCCGACTTATGGATTCGACTAGAATGCCAAAGCGCCCACTGTATGGCCAACTGCTTGTAAGGAAGGGAAATGTGGGCAAAACGAAGCTACGCTACCAAGACATGATCAAGGTGACTTTACGTGCCGAGAGCAATTGACAGTGGATCGACACCAATGGCGTGATCATATAAAGAATGTCATTTATCAATGCCTCAGAAAGAAAAACACCGGTTACGAAAGCGGTATGCGTTGATGGAGCCTAGCCTATCGATGTAGAGCACATGGTGCCGCAACACATGTGGCCGTGTGTGCCGCAACCGAGTAAGTCTGATCAGTCATCAATGAAGCCACGAAGAGTCAGTATCAAAGCGATGACAGGTAGGCTAGATGGGTAAGTACCAGCGCTCGGTAAGTATGCTGCTTCCGGTTCTATTTACTAATCTAGGCGAATAAGACGGTAGATGTGGCACGTGTGCCACATCATCGCTGCTCTCGGTCTAAACATGTGCCTGTTTGATTATTTTCTTGCATTTTAGGTGTTTATTTATTCAGTTCCCCGGTCTGGCTGCATGCGATTAAAATGTTGACAAGGTGTCTAACGGTCGAAAACCGTCACCTCGATTACTGTCCCGAGGAGACTGATAATCATTGTTGAGAGAGGCAGGGTGCACGGTGTTCGTGACGGTGCTAAGCTTAAAGAGTGGTTCCATCCAGTTTGGAACGGGCTATAGTCCAGCCACCGTTCTGTGTACGTGTGGCATGCATGTTCCCCTCTATGCAAGTCAATGATGTGTAAGTTGGTGTTGGCCGGCACCGAATCAGTCGTTGATCCCATCTACATGGTCACCAGGCGTAATCCTTCGGGTTTACACCAGATATAATATGTGTGGATGGAGCTGTCGGTAGTGCAGAACAAGTCACCTATGGTCCCCCAGTAGGTGCAAGTGTCCTGTCGCCGTTCGCAGTAACAGGCAAATCCGGAAACGGATGCCACCAATCATAGACCTACCATCGCTGTGGCCTTAAAAAGTTGATCCCTTGTGCACCATATTCTTGTTACTCTCCGTTGTTCTCATCGAATTCACACTATTTTGCGATCTTAGTATTGCCTTAAAAATCCGAAAGAAGAACTGAGGGCTTGTGTAGGCTCATGTAAATATAGTTCGTGGGCTACTCCGGTTACTCTACTTGCAAGAAATTAATTTGCTGCAAGACACCAGACAGCATCGGATGAATTCCAAAGAGAAACACTTCATGATAATGAAATGTATCCCAGCACAACACTCCTCAAGTGGCAAGGGAAATTACAAAACACGATGGTTCACAAGGACAGGCGTATACTATAAAGCACTTCTTAGACAAGCATATAATTCAGTCAGGTGAGAATGCTACACCAGAGAAAAATAATCGTTGCAACGACAAACGCTGTCGTTGAGATAACGCGTAGAAAATGATCCCAAATTGATCAAGAACAAAGAATGGATCCAACTACGGTGCCATTTACAACGTATTGTTTAACTATACAAACAAACCTCAATTTTTCGCGCTCTGAGGTCGACAACAACGAGCGCTGAAGTAGCGTCCAAATGGATAAATTACAATGGATCGTCACGCCTCGAGCCAATAGTGAACACGAAAATCAATCGCTTATTCCCACATTCCTGACGATAACAAACAGTCAAAAATTCTGCGGCGCATTCAAAAACACAAGCTACATTCCTACACAATTACATACGTATATACACCCATATACTTACATACACTGTTATGCTAAACATGTCCTTTTGTACAATTTGTTCACACTATGTTAGCTAAGTATGATCATGCCTGTAAAGGTGTGCCTCGCATTGTCGAGAATAAAAATTTATTTATTTATTTATGATGGATCACCGGGCACATAGTGGTTCCTGAATGGAGATAACACACCAATGCACGGTGCAAGAATTGATCTCATGGTCAAGCTCATTCAGTGAACAGAGTCCGGAGCAACAGCACAGGGACACGATAAACGTACATACATGCACACCCACAGTGAAGGAGAGGGAACGCATCCGTGACACATTAGTGGCCACAAAGTGGTAGTTCTTTGGCGGCCAGTGTTTCACAGATGAACACATACAGACAGGCAAACAATTATCGACGATTTGGGCAGCCGCAGAGTGAATGGTGATTGCGAGTTAGGAGAATTTCCGATGTAAATCCAAATTCCACTACAGTCATTAAGTATGTTAACATATAAGGAGCCTGTAGCGAGTACAGAAGGGGGGGGACAAAAGTTGATGCTACGAGAGAGGAAAATACTGAACCAGGGAGACCAAGCATATGCGGAGGAAATTTCCCGAAACACTAACAGAGGCTTTGTCACTAATTATGTCGGAAGTTGCACCAATGTGAAGCGAAAGGAAGTCTCAGTAAAGAATCACGGCGTGAAAAACAGCCTTCGAGTACTACGGGAATTCAGTTAGACAAGAAGGGGTACCTAAATTCAGGGGCCTTGGAAACAACCAGTTCGGGTATTTGAGGAACGACGCTTCAGTTATGACACGAAGGTTACACTTCAGGCGGAGTAATCTAGCTAACAATTAAGTAATATATCATACCGAACGTGGGTGAAAGTTTGCTACACAGACGAGTCAGTTGAATGGCATTTGCAGACGTAGGTTGAGCTGTCATCTTAAGTGGTCTATTGAGAAAAATCGCGTTGTTGCCTAAGCCGAATGACACTGCCACTGGGGAGTGGGCTTGAGTTCAAAATTCTGCTGAGATTTGGTGGTAGCGGTGTATGCGTTGGTCACCATACGCTAAGTCGACTTCACAATGTCGACAGTATCGGTTGGTTACGGTCAATACCACAAGGGCTAATTACTGAGACAACGGAATTTGTCATAACTGGCTGGTTGATAGAACGTGGCTGTGGAATGTCTGTTATTCGGTTTTACTCTGCCCATTTGGATGAGTATCGGCGAATGAATTTGCACTCACGATAGACTAACAGCACCGCCCCCCACCACCAAGAGCTTAGGAATCAACGCGATTTTCCTCTCACTGGACCATTTAAGAGGAAAGCGCGACATACGCCTGTAGGTGCTCTGCAACCGATGCCTCGGTGTTGTGAACTTTCGCTCACGTTTTCAATAAACTATCACATACTTATAAGATAGTTCATTAACTGAAGAAGTCTTTGCATCAGAAATGGAAACGTCGTCCCTAAAACACATGAGCTAGTTGTTCCCAAATCCTTCTGAAATGACAAATTTCCAACCGGTTTCAAGCACATGCCAAAATATCGAAAAGAGAGTACCTGTTCCGATAAACTCAGCAATTTGAGTGAGGAGTCCATTGACAATGGGGAACCAGCTGGTGAGAATGGCAGTGATGGAAAATTCTCTTGATGATTGGGACGTTGAGGTAGTTCGCAAATACCAAGGTTCACTGTAGACTTCCGTGTACAGTGCCAGTTTTCCGATGCAACAGAACGGTCATTATGACTGGGATGAGGGTTAGCATACGCTGGGAAAAAGTTAAGTTAGTGATAAGCGTTGCGAGAGTAAAAGGCGACAGAAAATGCTAAATGACAAAATTTTTTCGCAATCCAGTCGGAAAAGCAACAAGCTAAGTCAGAGAGTAAGTTGAGGTCGCTGGAAGAGAGGCAGCAATGGCTGACATAAGCGTCAAGCGAGTTCATCCTGTGGCCAATTACCAAAGATTGTACGGTACATGACGATTTTACAATTTTAGAAAATAGAATGGGATGTCGAAGAACAGGAATATGCTTATCCCACCTAGACTCGATCAGAGAGTGGTAAAATACCGGACAGTTTTTCTATCCTATTGGGGCTAGGTGGCAGAAGCCTTCCTCGACAGAGTGGTGATTTCGAACATGGGATCAGTCGATTCCCTGATCTATGAATGGTGAATGACTGTCGTGGTTGGGCCATAATCTATGATATAGCACAACATATCATCGGCTATCATGTAAGGAACTGCTATATACACATGACGAAATCGGCAAATCGAAGCAAGAATTCTCGCGCTAATTCGTTTGACAGCGAACTACTGATTTTTAGCTAGCGGTAGTCTGGTAGTAAAAGGTTCAGCAACGCGGCTACACGCAGCCAAATAGCAGCGTGAAATCGGAAAAAGTGCCAGAGAGTGGTAAAATACCGGACAGTTTTTCTATCCTATTGGGGCTAGGTGGCAGAAGCCTTCCTCGACAGAGTGGTGATTTCGAACATGGGATCAGTCGATTCCCTGATCTATGAATGGTGAATGACTGTCGTGGTTGGGCCATAATCTATGATATAGCACAACATATCATCGGCTATCATGTAAGGAACTGCTATATACACATGACGAAATCGGCAAATCGAAGCAAGAATTCTCGCGCTAATTCGTTTGACAGCGAACTACTGATTTTTAGCTAGCGGTAGTCTGGTAGTAAAAGGTTCAGCAACGCGGCTACACGCAGCCAAATAGCAGCGTGAAATCGGAAAAAGTGCCAGACGGCAGTTTGCTCTTATTAAGACATATCGGTACCACGAAACATATACCTTATTATTATTATCATTATCATTATTATTACTATTATTCCCTTGATGATTTGGATCCACGAGCATCCGGTTCCGAACGCATCGATTTAGGCTGCCAGAACTGTGGCGATCGAAATAAGTGGTACCAGCTGTCTGTAAGGCAGAGGACTGGAGTGATCCAAAGGGAAACGACGGTGAAATACTAGCCGTTATATGACACTATAGTCTACCTCGTACAGCTACCGATGTCAACGCATCAGTAGGGGGTTTCAGGTAGGCATGTAGCCGAGAGCAGTTCACCGATGAGTGAATGAGCGATAGACAGACCCTCAAGTGTGTATGTATGCACAGCCAATGCTGAGTGTGTGAAGATCCGGCTGACGATGATGATTCACAGGCCACAGTAGATAATGCCGTTGTGACACTACTGGTCCCTCTCGACTGCAATAAGCAACATCCTTGCGCAATTCGCGGCGTTGGTACTAGTGGCTGCGACAGTAGTGAAACGTGGCCATGTCATCCAATCTCAACATAGTGTTTATTAAAATCCCCAGTGATCTAGTCCAACCGGTTTTGTTGGCGGCGTGCAATTTTCCTACGTTACGGCAAGTAGGTCAGTAGCTGCGTTCGCACACTCATTGGATGCCGTCTGTAGTGACTTGTGCCGGGATTAGAGTTCCTAATCCTGGAGTTAAAATCGAACAAGCTTAAGCTGATTACCTTCCTATCCACTGAGTGGATGTGTCCAGAGGTTCCGATGCACCAACAGCGGGTCAAGCTGGATAAGACTGCTTTCATCCCTAGAGCTGAATCTTCAGTGGTGTAATGTATCCCTATGAACGGTCGCTAGTGCGAAGCCTGTTCGAAAAATTCAAGCGGGATTAGCGCACGGGACAACGCTAGGTACGACTTGTTCAAAGCGACTAACCGTGGTACCGATGTCGCAAGTTGATATGAACTAAGAACATAGAAGGCTGCTATGCACCGTAACCGTCCCGAAGATAGCTTTAGTTGCTGGAGTTATAAATGCATAGATAAGTTGTTTAATCCCCTCATAGCAACTAGTTGGGACGTTTATATTCCATTCAAAAAGCATAAACCATGGTAAACGTCAAATAGCAACCGTTTTTAGGCAGTACTGGCTACAAACACAGCGGGATACAAATGTATCGCTTGAGGTCTCAAGGTAGGTAGCCTGCGACGTCACAAATAGACCTTAGGAATGCGATTTTCCACCCTTGGCTACTACTCGATTTAATATGTGTCTGTAGTCTGATGACGCTATAGCCCGTTGCCGATTTCCTTTGAAATTTGAAGGAAGATATAGGAAGTTGTAAGAACCCAAGGTGCAAACGGAGTGAATTACTGTGACAGATGCCGACAACCATATGCGTCAGTTTTGGTTATCAAAAATCCGAGCATTCTGTGCACTTTCTCCTGGAAGCTAAGAGACAATAATTCTGTAACCAAAATGGGTGCACATATATTCGCAGCACCAAAGCGTTATTCTGATGCTGGGGGGTTGGTATGGTTGGGTCGACGCGCTATAGTCTAGTTTTCTAGTGCTATACTGCTAATTATTGGCGCAGTGGTAACGGTTTTTGGCCCATCACAGTGATCCCAAATCGGACAAGAGATCTATAACCTATTTCGGCTTATGGTCCAAAGATCATCAAGATATGGTGCCACTTAAATATTGGTATGGTTGCTCCCATTATGTCAAACTTCAGTGCATTGGAAGTTCCAGGAGATATTCCACTTGAAGCATCAGTCTTCAGAAAGAGCGCTTAACCAGCCAATCAGAAAACGAACTCCGAACGGTACCAAAAAAAAGATGTAATATAGTCTGGAAATTTGAGTCAGAATAGAGGCTACAAGCTAGCAAGGGAATTTTGGGAGCGACTAGTAGATTCCCCCAGACAGTTTCAACTGATCTACCTACCTGACCAAGACAACCACCCAACGGCAGCCACGCCTTAGTTCATATTGCGCACCGCACATTCGTAGTAAGTTCACTTGGCCGCATATTCTGTGTCGCTTCTTGTCCAAGGAGTGAAAGCCAAACTATTTTGCTACATTGGTTCATGTCCATCATGTTTAATTACTTGGACGTTCCTTCGCAAAAGAAAACTGGTACAGTTGTTCGGATAGGAAGAGAGGATTGTTTTAGCCAATTGAAATGAGTCAGTTATAGTAAGGACAGACAAAATGGACCTCCACTCGGTGTCGGTAGTGGTCAGCTTACAAATATCCCGAAGCAATTAGCTCATCGTTATTATAACATCCTGGTGTTGTTTATCGTACCGGTTGCGTTGTAATCCGGAGGTCACCGGTTCGAATCAAAGTAGGTGTCGGCGATTGAACTGTTCGCAGAGCTTGGCAATTTTGTTGCGAACGTTTCGTGACCGATTGAGGTGAAATCATCAGTGTGTTGTTACGTAGCGCGTATTATCGCAGCGCAGCGTAACGACGCACCGGTGATTGCACCTAGATGGTGAGGAAACGCACGCAAAAAGATTGCCAAGCTCAGCGAACAGTTCAACCGTCATATGGACAAAGTAAGATATCCGTTTTCATTTCGATAGCCAAAGTAGGTGTGTGAACCTTGCGGCATAACTAGCCCTCGAAAGAATGACGGTGGTGTCGTGGCAGCAGAGTATCAGTACAGTGTGCCGGCGTGCTGTTGATAACTTTTCAGTTTTTAATTCTCTCGAATTAGTGGGTAAGACGGTTTGATCAAAAGAGATGGTGGCGGACGCTGTGACCAATCCAGTGGTTGTGGGGTACATTAGTTGAAAGTGACAGGCGCCGGCTTGAGTCCCTCATGGGGTGGAAGGAGTTCGCAATGTCAGGGGGAAGAAACGGCCATCTAGTTCTCTTTCAGACGGATGCGCAGTGTCTGGTTGTGTGTGTAAAGAATCCTCAATGAAATTAGACCGAATTCTCTTTACACTGCCCATCGGTCAGGAAAAATTGTGAGAACCAAACATTTAGAAGTGATTTTAAAATTATTGGTTAAAGTTGGAAAAGGCCGTTTTCCCCAAGCATTACCTTAGAACCAGCAAAAACCATAGACTTATTGTTCGCCACCATTTTTGATTTTTAAACGCTGCACGCCATTTGTTCCTACTTCCAACGAGCGCTTGGATTGGCTGATTTGGCAACGCCGTTGAGTGACCTAAACCAATCATGAGTTTCCATTACTTTCTCATCTGTTTCGTGTTGGCGTGTTAATAGATCTCGTGTCTGAGGTCTTACCTTCTTCCCTTCAGGGTTGAGGGTTTTGGATGGTGCCGGATTTGTGTTGCATTTGTGATTCTGTGCCGTGATCTCTTTGTGTGTGTTCATTTTCCGCGCGTGTTTGTTCCGAATTGCGTTAGCGGCCATAAAATCGCAACAACTTGGCGACGGGCCCTGCTTCATCAATGAGCATCGACAGTAGTGCTATCAAGCTGATCCCGCAGCAGTAGATGCGGCTGATGGAGTTGATTACTGAACGCTTTGCCGCGTGCTCACTAAGACAACCTAGCGAATCCTTCATCAATGAGTCTAGTGAACAAGCTGCCAATAGCAGCACTGAGTTTTTGTTCGATCCTGCGGTTAACGTAACATTTGGTTCTTGGTTCTAACGATACGAAGGCCTATTCCGCATTGAGTTTGCCCATCGTGACGACACATGGAAAGTTCGCCTTCTGCTCCTCAAACTCGGTTCCGCTGAACACGGAATATACTCCAAGTCCTTCCTGTCACAGAAGCTACGAAATCGGTCATTCGATGAAACGGTGCAGACAGACAAACATTCAGTGAGCAATCATCACTGGCGGTTGAACTGTTCGCGGAGCTTGGCAATTTTGTTGCAAATGTCTCGTCACCAATCGAGGTGACATCATCAGTGCGTAGTTGAGTGGCGTGCAGTAGCGTAGAGGACACTCGGTGAGAGTGCATTGAGCGTGATGTTTCGTGGAAACGAAACAGAAGGCG